GAAACACACAACACAAAACTGATTCTTCCCCCAAACAGCTTACTCCACTTGGTTTGTTCCACTTTGGAGTAAGCTGTTGGGGAAGAATCAGTTTTGTGTTGTGTGTTTCCTTGACTGATGAAGCCTTCTGGATGGAAGGTGAAATGCTTCAGAAAAAAAAAAAAGAAACTGTCCAGATGACCTGACTGAAAATTGTTGGATTGTATACCTGGATTATTGAGCATGGACTTTTTTTTTGCACTATAGTATATTTAGTAATTTTCTTCTTTTATTTATCCTACAGGGGTTGGTTGTTCATCTAAGACAGGGTGAGCAACATTTTTGTCGCCAGATATTTCAACCCGTCAAATGGCTGCAAAGAGAACTGAAAAATAAATTTTCTTTTAAGACAAATAACTTAGGACTTTTTTTTTTTACACTTTTTCCTTTTTAGTATAATTAGCATGCCTGATAAAAAATATGTTTCTCCAATACTCTTCAGGAATATAAGACATAATTTATATAAACTGGCTTTTGTGCTGTGTTAACCTAAATATGCAAAAAAAATATATATATATATACTTTTGTTTTTTGGAGCCTTTAGTTCTGAAAACATAACTATAAAAAGTTTTAGTGTATCTTAATTCCAAGGATTTCAATGTATTTGTTGACGATGTTAAATTTAAACTTTTTTAAGTTTCATTGATTAAAAAGCTGGTTTTAACTAACTTATATAAAAGTTGTTTTCTTTTAAATTAGGAACATTGGTGGCCAGGACTGAAACAGTCCAAGAGCCATTTTTGGTCCTTGGGCCATACGTCGTTGCCCACGTCTGATCTAAGACAAAAGATCAGCTGAATTATCAAAAGGATTGTCTTTGCTTGGAGAGCCAGTTTATTCTGAGGCAGCTTGTGAAGTTAAAGCAACATTCATTTCTCTAACAAAGTAAAGTCAGGTCCTCTGGACCCGGAGTCTGCAACCTTTACGGTCAAAAGAGTCATTTCTGCTCCTTTGTTCACTAAATTAAACGTGTCCGGAGCCACAATACCTACTACAACTGGGATTCTCAACTGGTGGTCCACGGACCACTTTAAGTTTGTTGGAGGGTGCTTTTCTGAACAATATGGATGATTTTATAAAACTAAAAATATCTAATGATTTTTAACATTTATTGATATTTTTACACTCTAAGACAAAATAAAAGATGAGATTCTTGTAAAGAAGGAAAAAATAATATAGTTTTTGCCCAGTTTCTAAAAACTAAATAAACTATGCATTCTTATGTGATTTTTTTAATTGTAGAAAAATTATGTATCCTACTTTGAAGAAATAACGTGTAAAGTGAAATTGAGTATGTTTTACTCCTTGTAATGTTTCTAGTATTCATATATCTGCAAAATTAATTACAGGAAAACTGCTAAAACTAGCCCTTTTAGTTGTTGTTATAACAACCAATAAAATTCAGTTTTATGTCAGTTTTGATCAAAGATTGAAAGAGACGCTGCAGAGGAACCAAAGAGCCGCATGTGGCTCTAGAGCCGCAGGTTGCAGAACCCTGCTGTGGATGGATTCTTCTTGTTGAAACATTTTGTCTTTTATCCAAAAACTTGGTCCATCTGAGGAGCTGCAGTAAACTCAGTCTTATACATAAATAGCACCTTCTCGTAGTAGATCAACCAGTTTGCTGCTGACAGCCAGAACTAGTTGCCCACATGATCAAGGAGGACCATATGTCTAATGACTGATCGTTAATGCACTGATGGCTGTTTACTATTCACAGGCGGTTGAGTGATACTAGCAATCACAGCATTGTAAGAGGGGGACAGTTGAACCCGGAGGCCTCCACACCTGTTTAACGATGGACGATTTCTTTTCACAAAGATGGCCTCCTTTACTCCTCTCTCAAACCATCGTTCCTCTCTGTCCAGGATGTGAACATCTTCATCCTTGAAAGAGTGACCGCTGGCCTGGAGATGAGTGTAGACCGCAGAGTCCTGGCCTGATGATGTTGATCTTCTGTGCTGGGCCATCCTTTTGGCCAGTGGCTGTTTAGTTTCCCCGATGTAAGACTGATCACAGCCCTCCTGACACTGAACAGCATACACAACATTACTCTGTTTGTGCCGGGGGACTGGATCTTTGGGATGAACCAGTCTTTGCCGTAATGTATTTTGGGGTTTAAAAGCCACTGGGACATTCTGTTTAGAAAATAAACGTCTCAGTTTCTCTGATACTCCCTCAACATATGGAATGACCACTGGTCTGGGTTCCTCCTTTTCACCTGATGGCTGACTGGAGTCCTGTTTGGGTTTCTTCTCTGCTTCCAGGAAGGCCCAGTTAGGATATTCACATTGCTCTAGAGCCAGTCTAGAGTGGGATTTCTCCTTCTGCCTGGCTCCTGAGTTAGTGGGGATGCTGTCTGCTCTGTGGCACAGAGTCCTGATGACTCCTAACTTGTGCTCCAAAGGGTGATGGGAGTCAAACTGCAAATACTGGTCTGTGTGGGTGGGTTTGTGGCACACCTCAGTTTGCAAATGTCCTCCATCAGAAACTGAGACCTCACAGTCCAAGAAAGCCAATCTGCCATTTTTTACATCTTCTCGTGTGAACTTGATGTATTTATCCACAGAGTTGATGTGGTCAGTAAAATGTTGGACTTCCTGAGATTTAATTTTAACCCAGGTGTCGTCAACATACCTGAACCAATGACTTGGTGGTGTCCCTGAAAAGGATGACATTCTGACAAGAGTGGTGAGCTAGCATCTAGTCTGAGTGGGGACCAAAGTAAACTGGATCACTACCGTCTTAAAACAACTCCAATTTCCACAAGTAGCACTTTGGGTTTAAAATATATAACAAGAATACTGTATTTGGCACATTATAAGTTGATCAACAAACTATTATAAAACAATACAGCAATCTATAGCAGTATTCTGGACAAGCAAAGACCATGTATAACCTTTGACCTTGATTTTTTACCTTAGAGCTAGGGTGATTAAAATGTTATGTGACACTCTGTCTAATGTAGTGTCATGTTTCGTTAAATTCTCTAGAGCAGATCAAACGTTATCGTACAGACAAGCAAATATTTTGTTCCAACTTTGACCTTGATTTGTGAGTTTGACCTTGAAGCGGGTGTGATGAAGAGTTTAAGCGACCCTCCATCTAGTGATGATGAAATGTGTATTAAGCTTCATTAAATTATCTTGTGCAGATCATAAGTTGTGTGCGGGACAAGCTAAGACATAGTTTGAACTTTGACCTTAGTTTGTGACCTTGACCTTGAACTGGGGTGGTCATTTTTACTAACTCAGATTGTACAAGGAGCTTCCTACAACAGGTAACCCTACTTTAAAGCTCGTCTGAATCTATCCCTTTAAACAGTATCATTTGTTTTAAGAGTAACTGGAGAACTTTCAGGTCCTTTGAGAGTTTGAAGGTCTAAAAGTTACCCAGTTTTTTAATTGATTGCACTGTACCTTTTGTTTTTTATTCACCCATTGTTCTTATTTGAGTATTTTATCTGCATTTTAAGTTTTTGATATAATCGTTCTGAGGCGTGATCCTCCTGGTTGCTCCTTCTTTCGGTTGCTTTTATGGTTGCTTTTTATCCTGATGTTCACTCTTTGCAGCACTTTGAGATTCATTGTGAATGTAATGTGCATTAAAAATAAAAGTTATTATAAAAGGAAAGTGGTCTTTCTGGACTCACCTCTGATCCCAGAGAACCTTCATCTCCTCTGTAGCCAGGAGCTCCAGACTTTCCAGGCTCACCCTGGAAAAAACAGTTAACACAACAAATAAAACTACATCACAACGAGCCAGAAACAAACATTTGACTCTAAGAGTCAACTGAGACTTTTCAAAAACATTTTTTTTTTTAAATTGCATTATAGCTGACATAAAGCATGTAAGTACAAATAGTAATACGCTTAACCATCTTTGACAACATTTTTAAAAAGTGGCTCCCATGAGTTTGATTTCTTCCTAAAATAAAGTTAATAAGAGCAGCACAGTCAGTGATGAGTGCGAACATATTTGCTTGTGAGAAAACAGTTTTTTACAGCGTGAGACTGTCAGATGTTCCACGTTTTTAATGCAACGGTCCTCACTGATGAGAAAAGGAGCCATGGTCCAAAGCACAAAAGAACCATTGAAGAGTTCTGACATCACGGAGGTAACTGTAGCTGACGCCTGCAGCGTATTATTATTATTATTACACTGCCTGGTGCCTCATTAAGAAAGCCAAACGGAGGTTTTGGCTCGAGCAGGTGGAGAGAAGAAGTGAGTCAGAGAGGAAAGAGTGAGTGTTCTGAGGAGGAGTGGGCAGCACTCTGGGGCAACGGCCAAATTTGCCTCTGTTTAAGCGTCAGCTCGATGGCTCACCCTCAACATGAAAAATGGATGGAGAATTACTCGAACATGCACACACACAAGGAAACTCATCAAGTGGGAAAAAAGAGAAAGAAATGGTGGGTGGTTTGTAGCGGCCTGTTTGTGTGTCTGTTTAGGTTTGAGTGTGTGTTTGTGTCTTACAGGGTCTCCATTGGGACCAGTTGGCCCCTCCCTCCCCTGCTCTCCACGTGTTCCTGGGTCTCCCTGACAAGAAAAAGAGAACAGATGAATAAAATGTTCTGATGGCAAGAAAAGGAGGTTGAGCCAAGGTTTAGAGTTGGGTCAGCACACGAGGACAGTCTACAAATACTACGAGTTCTGTTTAGGTCAGTGTGGCGGAGGCTGACTCAGTTATTGATCCAGACTGTTTCCCATGACTTTCAAGTTGAAATCAACTTCCTTCTCATCACTTACCGGTTCTCCTCTCGGACCTCTGTTTCCACGAGAACCTTGCTCGCCCTTCTCGCCGACTTGCCCCTGCAAACATTGTCAAAGGGGTTGACATCTAATCTTGGTGGTTCTATCCACAAACACATTAAATTAAAGTCAAAATTAATTCTGTTCACCCTCTCGCCGGGTCCCCCATCTGTTCCAGACGGTCCCTGAAACACACACAGATACAGGATTTGAGAAAGTGATTTTAAAAGTTGAGGACTTCTTCTATCTGCTGTTTTCACGTACATCATCGCCACGCTCTCCTTTGTCTCCATCAGGTCCACGAGGGCCTGGTTCACCCTGTCCCAACACAGAGAGGTAAATATATGCAACAGCACCTGCTCTGTCTTTTGTCAAGTTTCTTTGCTTACCCGAGGGCCCAGGGGCCCATAGTTTCCAGGACGTCCCGGTTCACCATTTTTTCCAGGATCTCCCTAAAATGGCCCACATTTTATTTTAAAGAAATCCCCTAAAGGAAATGTAAGATCTTTACAAGTCACAAGTGTTTATATCTTACTTTCTCTCCTTTCTTTCCATAAGGGCCAGGGTCCCCCTTTGGTCCGGCCTCTCCCTGCAGACCCTGCAGATATAAAATATGAACAAAGATCACAAGTAGCCAAAGCCAAAACTATCAGCTGTAGTTGTATGCTCATATAAGCTCATGTGTGAGTTTGCTTACAGTCTCAGTATGGTTCCATTTAAACAGTCTGACAGTGGAGAATGTAAACAAAGCTGTGATTAAAGAGCTTAGGGGCTTCATGAGCCTGCCTCCTGGGATACAGACGTAGGGCGGGATGTTGTCTGGTAACAACCAACTGTGGTTAATGGCTAATTTGTAAACAAAGAAGCCAGAGTCTCTTATACAGAAGTGGCTTGACTGGGTGCGATAATCAGTTCACAAAACACAACAGCAGCATCCAGTTTCCTTTACTTTCTTCTCCATTCCAGGTCCCGGGGAACTGGTGTCTCCAGCAGTCACTGCGAGAGAAGCGGGGGACACCCTGGACAGGTTGCAAGTCCATCACGGGGACACATAGAGACAAAAAAAAACCCTGATACAGTCATTCAGGTCTAGGGGCAATGTAGAGTTAACCATGGACCAAAGATGCATGTTTTGGTTTGTAGGAGGAAACTGGAGAATCCGGAGAAAACCCTGCAACATATTCGACTGCCTGCATTTCTGCACCTCTTTAAACCCGTTAATGTCCTAATTTATTAAAAGCTAACAACCAGTTAACATGTTGCATTTTCATTGTTATCCAATATGTATATACTTTTCAAATTATGTTAAAGCAGATGTTCAGACCTTTTAACGTGGACTTTTGTGGAAAGTTAATAATATCTATCAGAAATATAGTTATCTGTGAGAAATACAGTTAACTGTCGGAAATATAGTTGTCTGTCGGAAATAGATCTTGTTTGTGTCTACGTGCCAAACAGCAGTTCAGAGTATCCGGCCTTCTTGGAGTCCTTAATGGAGGTGCTGGAAAGTGTGCACCAGCTGGGGACTCCTTTATTCTGCTGGGGGACTTCAATGCCTACATGCATAATGACAGAGTGACCTGGACAGGTGTGATTGGGAAGAACAACCTCTCTGATCTGAACTCGAGCAGTGTTCTGTTGTTGGACTTCTGTGCTAGTCATGGCTTGTCTAACACAAACATCATGTTCGAACATAAGGGTGTCCATAAATGCACTTGGCACTAGGATGCCCTAGGTCGTAGATCAATGATTGACTTTGTAGTCGTGCCATATGATTTGTGGCCATTTGTTTTGGACACTTGGGTGAAGAGAGGAGCTGAGCTGTCAACTGATCACCACCTGGTAATGAGTTGGATCAGATGGCAGGGGGGAGATGCTAGACAGACCCGGTAGACCCAAACGTGTAGTGAGGGTTTGCTGGGAATGCCTGGCAGAAGAACCCATCAGAAAGATCTTCAACTCACCTATGGCCATGAACTCTGGGTAGTTACTGAAATAATATGATTATGGATACAGGCAGTTGAAATGAGTTTCCTCTGCAGGGTAGCTGGACTCTCCCTTAGAGATAGGGTGAGAAGTTCAGTTATCAGGAGAGACCTGTAGTAGAATCGCTGCTCCTCCACATTGAGAGGAGACAGTTGAGGTGGTTGGAGAATCTGGAAAGGATGCTTCTTGGGCGCATCCCTGGGGAGGTGTTTTGGGCATGTCCGACAGTGAAGAGACCCTGGGGAAGACCCAGGACACTCTGACTTCGGAACAATTGGAAGATGATGGATGGATGGATGGATGGATGGATGGATGGATGGATGGATGGATGGATGGATGGATGCATGGATGGATGGATGGATGGATGGATGGATGGATAGATGGAAATAGCTCCTTGAAGGAACTTAGTTTGGAGAAATATAGATTATAACTGATGAGCTGAAGGCTAGTCTAAGAAGGGTCAAAACCAAAAAAAAGAAACTACTATCTTAAAAATAACTTTGGTTAAAGGTAATTCATAATCAATAGTTAATGTTTGTGCAAATTAAAAAAAACTTTACACCATATATTTGGGTATTTTGGGAAAAATATGAAATTCCTGAAGGACAAGCCCCAAACACAGCTGCTGCTGCTATTTGTTTTTGAGAATAAATATTTTCAAAAAGAAACTATCATATCAAACGTTTTCATATCACACTTTGAAAAACAAATGGTGTTGGCCAAAGTACTGACCATAAAATACTAGACATATTATTATAATAATAATTATAATAATTATTATTATTAATAATAATAATAATAATAATAATAATAATAAAATATTTAAGATATAATAATTTGTAACAACAATAATAACAAACACTATTGTCAAAATAAATATTAGTTAGACCAGGCAGGACCTCAGGACAACTAAAGAACAGATCACCTAAGTGGAACAAGCTAGACCATGGAACAACAAAAAGCAGAAGATCATTAGATCTCAGGGATGTGGAGAACACATACGTCTGCAGGAGGTCAGGCATGTCTACAGTGGTCTATCCACTCAGGGGAGATATGATCAGATGTGTTCAGATATGTTCAGATGTGTTCAGGTGTGTTCAGAAAGGTTCAGATGTATTAATATGTGTTCAGGTGTGTTCAGATATGTTCAGATGTGTTCAGGTGTGTTCAGATATGTTCAGGTATGTTCAGATGTGTTCAAATATGTTCAGATGTGTTCAGATATGTTCAGATGTGTTCAGGTGTGTTCAGAAAGGTTCA